ATCACTTCCTTGAGATCCCCTCTCTGCCCACCCAAGCCCGACCACTACATTCCAGCAGGACTCCAGTTCCCCCGTCCACACAGTCAAAAAAGGAATTAAGACTGAGAGAGGGCCAGGAAAGAGCAAACAGAGCCAGAAAAAGCCCGTCCTGAATGAAATGCACCCAGTGACACCCCACTGCCTCTGTCTCCATGCCGACGAGATTTGGCGCCAAGGATTACAACTCCCAGCATGTCACGGGCTGACTTCCTGAAGAGAGGGCTATTGGGACGTAGGGGTGGAGTTAAGCTTGGCTTGTAATTGAACATCTTTCCTGTTCTCTTGTTCTTCAGCCTCAAGTTGCCTGAAAGGACTTGTGGAGAGGCGGCTGATGCTTAACCAACAGAGACAGCGACAGCCTTTACCTTGACTTCATGATTGGTATGTGGCATATTGTGCACTCTCTCTATTTCCTCCTGTCCCAGCTCTCTGGAAACCGCCTAACCTCTCTCTCTGCGGTCCCTTGCGAGTAGGCACCTTAGGCTTAGGCAGGCTTTCAAGCCTCAGCTCCACTTTGAGCCAAGCCTATAGGGCTGGTGTTTTCCCATGAGAGAATGGGTAATTTTTGGAGTTTGATGGAAAAACAGTGTTTGAAATCCATTCTTCTCTCTCCTCTCTCTCTCGACACCAATTCTATTAAACGTTGAACACACTAAGCTTGCTTACTTCGCCTCTGTGTTCATGAGTTTCCCTTGCTGTGGTGCTCTAACAAGATTGTGTTTCTGTGCTTTTTCTCAGGGAGGACAACTCCCTAGCTTTTTGGTTTCGCAAATGAATCTGAACCACCTCAAGAAAGACCTGTGAGGACCCAGTAGAGCTTGAGACATAACAGGTAACATCAAATGAATGAAAACCATTTAAATTCTAACTTAAGCTCAGGAGTTTTTGACAGTCTAAAGGGAGAGAAGAAATGGTAAGGATGAATGGGTTGAAATAACAGGCAAGTCCACATTTTATTCTTCCTGTATTAAGATGATGTTAGTAGCTTATCCCTTCGAGATGGAGCTGTTTTTCTCCTCCCTAGGAACAGGGATGGTCCACCTGCCCACCAGTTCCTATCTTCATCATACAGCTTAAAGTCTGTAGTGTGGATACAGCTTATAGTCTGTAATGCGGGCTGGGCACAAGCAGGCGCCCAACTTTTTTTCCCGGAGACAGCTGTCCCCAGGTGGCAGAGGGCTGCAGAGGCAGATGAGACGACAGCACCAGCAGGCTCAGAATGGTGCGCTGTTTCCCTCCCCAGCCTGTCCACTCTACCTCGTGGTCCCACGGGGTGTCTTCCATTAGGTCCCTTAGAGAAAGTGCACCAAGGGGTCCCAGGAAACTGAAACCAACCCTCATCATTGTGCTTGTCCAGCAGGCGCTCTGGTGTTGGGCTTACCATCAACTTCAGAACTTCAGGAGGGATGTTTTTTAATTCTCTGGGCCCTACTCTATCCCACCACCTGAAAGAGTGCCTTTCTCTAATTTTTTTTTTTTGGTAAAGCTTCTTTTATTCATGCATGTACACAAGAGCTGGGATGTAGTCTGGGGTTGGGGTTTGAGATGATTCACTAAAGTGGGGAGCAGAACAAGTAGGCTGACTGAAATACACTGCTGAGGGGAGCAGCAGGTGAAGACAGGAGAGGTCTGCTGTGCCTTGTGGGTCAGCTCCCTGGCTGGGGGATCAAACTCTGGTTGCAGTGGCTGTGGATAGATTCACAGTGCTGAGACTTTACCCCTTGCACCACCAGGGAGGTCCCACCTTTCCTTAATTTTTATAAAGAGTACAGGAGCAGGCCCTCCCTGGTGGCGCAGCAGGTTAAAGCACAACACTAAGAAGCTAAAGCCACTTCAGCTTTTTTTTTGAGTTCGATCCCATCCCCAGTGGTGACCCACATGGCACTGCAGACTTCTCCTGACCTGCCAGCTGCTGCCGTCAGCAGTGAACTTCATCGGTCTGCCTGTTCTGCTCCCTACTCTGTGTCTAGTGAATCCTCTCATCGCCCCTGCACCTCTGGCCAGTACCCCCAGTTCTGTATGCATAAATAAATCTTTAAAAAAAAAAGTACAGGAGCACCTACCCCAATCAGAGGATGAGTCAATTCCATCAACAAATCACTGAGCCTTTTCAGTGTCAGGTAACCCCAGTGTTCCAAAGACTCTCACATGTGAGAGACGGCACCATCACCAGACATCCTCTGAGCACAGGGACTATTCTAATGATCATTTCTCCCATCAAGATCTTGGAAATGAAAATATTTAACAGCAAATGTAAAAGAAAAGATACCAAGATATGAGCATAAGCCACTCCAGGAATTTCATATGGTCAGGCTGCAGGTTTCTCTGCTACTTTTTCACTTCACCAGATCATTTTAGGCATTTTATAAAGTGAAGGTGGGCACCATCCCTTTTGGAGAGTCTTATTTTGCTTGGGACCAATAGAGAAGAAAAGGGAAGCTCCATGGGAAATGTACTTATTGCCACCATTGCGGGGACATGACTCAAGTGAAGGAAAAAAACATCTGTGTTTGTGGCCCTGTACCCTGCCACAAGAATGTGCCACCCACCTACCCACTGGTACTCGTGTGCTGGTGAAGTGATGATGCCTTTTCCCTCTTACACAAGATCTGTCTTCAGGAGTCACTTTTAAACCTCAACTACAGTAGTCTGCACAAAGGTTCACCCTCACTGACTTTCTAAATGCTCTCAGTGCCAGAGGGATGGGGAAGCTGGTCTTTTTCATGGCTGGGCTTCAATAATCTTCCTTTGAGGAGATTGTTTCACTCCAGAAGAAATGCCTCTATTTTCTATTTCTCTATCCTGGAGCGACATGGATAGTATCTATCTGCTAAAAAGGGTAATTGTGAGGGTTACAACTCAAAAACAGCACAGAGGAGGCACTCAACACATGTTGGTATCCTTCCCCATTCGTGCTGACGGAGGGTGGGTTTACCAAGCATGCTCTTCTCTATCTGGGCAGTATAATTTTGGAGACATGGGAAAGGCAGCCCAGACACCAGGGGGAACTAGGAGGGGCCAGTCTGCCTGTATAACAGAATTAGCATAGACTATGCAGCTTCTGCAATTTAATCCTCCTAGGAGTCTTCAGTCACCTAATTGTGTTTGTCATATTAAGATAAGGCTGGTGTTTACCAAACAGACACAGCAATTCAGGGGAACTAGCTAAACAAGCTGATTTGTGGCATGGGCTGAACCTGAATCCCCACCCAAAGATATAAGAAGCTTCTTGGCAGTTCTGTTAGCCTACAGCTCCTCTTAACACACAGGCATCAATTCTAGACTCTGCTCATATTAAGAGTCCCTCAACGCACTGCAATTTTTGACATGCCTTTTCTGTGATTGAAATGTCCTCCCACAGAGTCAACACCTATTTCTAGAAAGCCTTTCTTGAATCTTCTCTAATGGGTCAGGGTTCCCCCTAACCCCCATGGCCCCCCAAAGGAGCTCAGCCCTGCCTCTATTATCATCCTTATCCTACTATAATAGTCCCACTGTTTCCCAGACTGTCTCCCCATTAGACATGTGCTCCCTGGCTTCACAGTAGTCGTTAAGTAAATGGCTGCACAATATATGTGTTAAATGAATATAGGAGTGAGTGGTGAGAGTGAACCCACGACTGGAATACGAAGTGCAGAATCCAGCTTCCTACGAAACCTTTCTTCACCATGCCCTCTGTCAGTTGACAAATAAATAGCTAGTTTTAATAGGTGACTGGGGAAACTTGAGTCTTTATAAGGAAAAAGAAGTAGTCTATTATCTCTTCAATCTTCTATTTATTTGCATTTCTGGATAAGACAATAAACTAATTTCTAGTGAGTAGTTATTAACTACAGAGAGGTTCTGGGCACTTAAGATATCATTATATCCTTATGTATTGACTAAAAACACAGCACTCGCTCTAACAAAGAAAGTCACATACCTCTCCCTACTACTATTCTCCTTGGCCCAGGTTCTGCAAACACTATTACTGATGGATAACTTGCCAAGAGCCCTGTGGTAGCACTGGGTTTTCTTCTATGAAGCTACTGTAGATGGAACATAACGAAAGCTTACCCTGTTGTGAACCAAGACATCAAAATTAAGTCTCTGTACCCTGAATAATATAACCATCCACTGGTACATCTGTAATTAAGAATTAAACCTCCTCACATTACGGTGGAAACCCTTTTGCAGTGACATTATGAGGCTATGACACTTACAAAATCCTCCCCCTTTACAATGAGGTTGAAATAACAAACCAGTTCCTCAAGCCTCTGTGCAAAACCGGAGCCTCATATTTTGTAAAAGTCTGGCCATAAATATATTTGTGATCAATTCATTGCTTGTAAGACAATTTCTGTTGTTTTAGAGTAGCCTAAAAAACCCAAAAGATTGGAGAACAAAGACTCTGAGAGTCTGCCTTTAAGCTCTGACTTTTCTCCTTGCTCAGCCCACGTAGAAAGTCATTACGGCCCAAGTGCCCAAAAATAGATGACTGGATCAAGAAGATGTGGTATACATACAAATTGGAATATTATTCAGCAATCAAAAAGGACAAACTCATACCCTTTTCAGCAACATAGGTGGAGCTTAGTGAAATAAGCCAGAAAGAAAAAGAAAAATACTGGATGGTTTCACTCATAGCAGGAGCATAAGGGATCAGAAAAAAAAAAAAAGCAATTGTAATAACGTAAAAATGAACAACTATAAACCAGAGACATTTTATGGGGTAGAAAGGGGAATGGGATCAAAACCAGTGTGGGAAGAATGCAGGGGACTATGGTGATGGCACATTGGGTGAAGTGGTAGGAAGTCCATGGGGATTACAACTGAGATGAAAAAAATGCACAATATAAGGAATGATGTTAAATAAATAAATAAATAAATAAATAAAATAATAAAAAAAGAACGTCACTACTGGTCAGCAAGGGGACACTCACTCTACCCACGTGACCCAACGCAGGGCAGCGCTTCCTGACCTTGTGCAGCTCCACAGGCGTTGGCGACATGATCTCCTTTATTTCTTGTTTCATTTTTCTCAGGGTGACAGACTTCCTGCCCACATCCGAGGGCAGAGTGTTGCTCCGAGTTGTCTGACTGTAGTGTGGCCGAGAGCTGCCCCGTTCCTGGAAGCTGGCCTGTCTCCCCAGCTGACTTCGAGGGGTTGGGGACTCATGATTCAAGCTCATCGTGCTCCCCGACATAATTGTTGCCTGCGGCATTGACAATTTTCAGAAACAATTAGACCATGGACTAAGGAAAGGGTTTGGTTGCTCAACATTAAGCACATTTCTCCTTCTGCCCAATCAAAATACAGTCTCTTCAGGGCATAAACAAAGGCCGGAGAATGGACGCACTAATTGAACTATGGAAGTCTAGGAAAATGCTTTGCAATTGACATTTACAATGTGCATCTTAAATCCAATTAAAGTACTTAAGCCATTCAGTTTATTTAATCAAATACCACTCCTGGCAGTTTTGAGGCAAATTGAAAAGCGCTAACATTTGCTTACTGCAAACTACTTTTTAAGCATTAACTTTCCACTGAGTGGGCTCAACAGATGGGATTCAGGAGGCCCCTCCAATCTATCTTACAGAAATGAACTGAGAACTTCTCAGTGAGGACCAGGCTGCTTCCAGCCCCCACTGGAGGTAACAGTTGGCTGAGAAGAAGAGCCAGTGGTACGAAAGCAAGGACTTCTGCCCATGTCCCTGCTGTACCCGTATACTGTCTTCCCTTGGCCAAGTGACCTGCCCCAGAAGCCTGTGGCACAGCTCGGCCTCCATAACACAGGTGTAGAGCAGCACTTTTCAGAGAAATAGCCTGTGTGTAAGCTCTTCCAGACCAGATGATGAGAAATCATTTCTGATGCTAGTAAACTCAATCCTCTGCTCAAAAACTGTGAGACTGGGAGTGGATTTTCCCAGAGAATTGGGAAAAGCTGCTCAGTTTCCAATCTGCTCCCTGTATAACTCATCAGGGATACCATGATTAGATTCCAGATATAAATGTGTGGCAGAAGTGGATTTGCAACCAGCGTGATTTTGGGGATATTCATTTCTCATCATGAGAGGTTGCTTCTTTGGAAAAAATGCCAGCAGCCAGCTGTGTATGCTGCTACGATGGTTATATGAAGGAAACTACCATCAGCGACTCGACCTGAAATCACAGGGCTAGAAAGCAAGTTCTATTGTAGATGCCGTGTTGCTGGTTAAAACATGACTCAATGGTTTAAATTAACAAAAATGCTATAAACAACAGAAGCACAATTTGTTGGGTCCTCTGAATGCAGTCACCTATTTAACCATGTGGGGAAGCAATACTGTTGTTCCTCTTAATGTACAGTTGACAAAACTGAGCCACAAAGGTCTGACTGACCCAAGGTCTCCTAGGGAGTAAATGAGCCACGGCCACTGTCTAAAATTATTGATGAGGAGTGAACACAGTAATTGGTAAAAACCTCATTTATTTATCTTTCTAAGATTTTATAATTCCAAGATTCACCTGGTCTTCAGCTCTACACACACCACTAACAAGATCTTTGAATGACAGCCAAGTATAGGAGCAAATGTAGATATAGCTACAACTCTGTTGAAAAAAAGAAAAACAAAAAAATAAGTAATCTTACTAATACTCTGACTAGATCAGTTATCTCATGGATACTTTTGAAAAAAAAAAAAAAAGAAAATTATAGTCACTGCTCATCGAACACTGACATATGGTTAAGTGTTACACATATATCTATGTCTATAAATAACATGAACACTATGATAACCAGATAGGGCCAGCAGTATTATTACCATATCACTTCATACTCGTGAAGGCCAGGAATGCCAGGATGAGTTAAGCAACCTCAGAAATCTGACCCCAGAATGTTTAATCTTAACTAGATTGTACTGCTTCTTAGTCAGCTATTAGGTCAAAACATAAAAATGACTTTTAATACATAAAAAACCTCTGATGTTTAAACTAGTGTGAAGTCTCCATATTATGATTTTCTTCAGGGGAGAAAAAAACCTTTAAAAGTGGACACCTTTGGGCCCTCCCTGGTGGCGCAGTGGGCTAAAGCACAGCACTAAGAAACTTAAGCCACTTCCGCATGAGTTCGAGCCCTGCCTGCCCTGGAGGTGACCACATGGCATGGCAGACCTCTCCTGACCAGCCCGCTGCTCCCCTCAGCAGTGTGCTTCGTCGATCTGCCTGTTCTGCTCCCCTCTCTGTCTCTGGTGAATCCTCTCACCCTATAAATAAATAAATAAATCTTAAAAAAAAAAAAAGTGGACACCTTTGAACTATTAGCTTTGTTGGTGACATGGACCGTCCTTTTATACAACTAATTCCCATAGATCATTTCTTATATATTTTTTATCATTTCTTAGTTAATCTACTATCACTGACAGTGCCCAGGTTTCTTACTACAGTTTCCATCGATTTATTGTTTTCATCTATTCAGATTAGTTTATTGTTTTGTTAAGATCTATTTTTTATTTTCATTTATTTTATGAGAACAGCAGGAAACATATTGGAAGAAAAATGCTTAACCACTGTAACTGGGAGACGACTGTTCTGCTTTGGTAAGCCTCACCCATACCAGAAGTTATAAACTGATCTAGAAATGGTTCTGATAGAAAACTGACATGTTAATTCAAGTTTCAAAGCACAATTTGCTCAATGAGATTTTCAATTGAATTAGTGACATTTATGAAGGAACATGAAAATTAACAAATATAAAAACTAGAAAAGTAAAAAATAACTATTTGAATTTCTCTAGGGTTTGTTTTTGCTTCAAAAGTATGTACTGCCTGTTTGTTTTTGGAACAATTCACAATTTACAGTTATAATTTTCTCTTTCAAAATTATCATCAAGATAACTGATATTATGAGGGGTATGTTCATAAGGTCTCTGATGTTTGCTGAAGTCTTCTTCTCTTATACTAAAAATAATTAGAGCAAAGTTCAGTCAACAAAAAATGAAAAAAATAATTTCTTTTGAACATCTACTAAGTAATAAGCTGTGTTAAGTGCCATGTAAACATTACTCATTATCATTTCCATAATTTACAGAAGTATTTGATAAGAGTGATTGAGTAACTTGTTCCCTGTCTTAATTTGAATTTTTCTTTTTTGTTAAAACTCACTTTTCAGTGCTAAAGTAGAATCTAAATTATTTCTAACAATGGGGAATATGACTAGCATAATTTTCATTTTCATTTCAATTGTAGTAATTTTTGCTGTGAGCTAATTTTCTAAATTTATTACAGTTAGAGTAGGATTTAATATTTAATACCAGATGTAAATTTCATAGGGATAAACCTAGCTCCAATAATATTTCCTCATGGTAGCATGAGCAATCAAAGGATCAGAGTTCGTTTAAACCAATAAATGAATATCCTTTGTGATAAGAGTATAAATAAGACTTTAATTTATGGATTTGCCATTCACTCTTCTTAGTTGGGGCTTCAATTTCTGTTTTGCTTATAAATTAACCTGTTTCTTTCCTAAATTTATAATCACAGGGGCTACCTTTACCTGAAGCTGTTGGTGAAAACTTACATACTCTGCTACAATATAACTTCTCTGCTGACGGATTCAGTTTTCATTGGATAATGGATGAAAGCACAACCTAACTGTATTATTTTTTACAGCATCTTCATTTTACCTAATATAAAAAGAAGTCTTTAAAAGAGTAACTGTACCTTCAAAAGTACATTCAAACCTTGGGAACTCACTTCCTTATTCCATTTTGAGCCCCTTCTGCTGGTTTTTCTATATACAGGAAGTGGTAAAAGTTTAAATAAGCCAATGCTACTTAAGCATGCTATTCTTTTTGAAAGTTGCACAAAAAGGAATCAATTACTTAAATTTTAATATATACATATATTTACAGGAATATCCATCTCCAGTTCCTTTTCCTGTGCTCTGAAGCAGAAATTCATGCCAGGTACTACTGTGATGTTTACAAATCCACACTAAGGGTTTTCTTTAGAGTTCTCTTTGCAGATCCACAAACATTAGAATCACATAAAGTATCCAAACATGCAATCAAGAAGCAAAATAATATAAAGATGAGTAATCATTTTTGAATCGCAAGTTTCACTCAGGTATGCCATTCACATTCCTTATGGTGACTTGGAGACCTCATATGACATCAAAATAAAAATGAGACTCTTGCCATTTTATTTTTTACAGCTCAGAAAATTTAAAAGAACATAAAAGGAAACAGTCCAGGACTTCCTCGGTCACAGTGTGAGTACCATCAGCAAATTCATGGCTTTGATCAAAGAACTCCCTAGGAGCTCAGCTATCATCCTCCATGTCATCACAATGTCTCAAATTCACACTAAGTTAATACAGAATCGGGATTTGCAATGAACAGCAAAACACCATGTGATATTTTGGCTGCTTATTAAACAGTGGTCTTTTTCACCACAGTCCTCTTAGACTTTAAGGGCAAAACAAAAGAAAATTTCCTCTTATGTTCCTCTTAACAATCAAATGAATTTCTATACCAGGTACAAATGAAAACATGCCAAAGGAACCTTTCTAAAGCAAGAGAGAGAATGAGATGTGCCACTGCGGGAGACTTAGCTCGCTCCTTAGCAATCTGGTAGGACACAGATCCAGTCAGGGTTAGCAGGGAGCAAGGGCAGAAGCCACAGTCGGTAAGCTTGGGGTGGGCAGGGTGGCAATGGGGAAATTCAGACTTTCAACTGCACTGTATAAAATCAAATTGCTGTCCAGAGGCAAGGGGCAGGGAAGGCAGCTTTACAAGCAAAAATATAAACAGAAAGGGTAGCTACCAAGAGAGTCATGTTTCTCAAAGACACACGCCTGTCAGCTTTCTCCTGTGGAAAGGGGTTAAAGCTTTTAAATGAACTGGTGTGATAAGTGCAAACTCAAAAGGACCAAAAACATGAATGTCGAAACTACAGAAAGTAGCGGGACCAAGACTACCTCGAGTTCTCTCAGAATTCCCGATTGTCCACAGGTCTCTAAGTCCTCCAGTGCTTGAGACCAGAAGTTCTCCTCTTGCTCGGCCTCTGTACTGTCAGTAGCCCCTACAAAACTGTCATCAAAAGCACAGTCCGGGTTAGGAACATGCCAGATAGATAGATTTTTTTCTATATTGAGAATCTCTCTTTGATCTTACACACACACAAAAGCGACTTTGATTGAGACTTGTCTTCCTTCTGCTGTGACCTGCAAGTCAAGGCAGCTCTGGGCTAAGAATGCTTGCTCAAACTCGGGGTGTGGAAGAAGGGGAGGAAGGACACCTGGGTTCGCTAACTGCATTTCTGAGCTTTCCCCATTGCTGCTGAATGGCTGGCAACAGTGTCGGTGTGGAAGCTCTCTCAGCTGCCCCATGGACATGGAAAAGTGAGCCAAACTTTTCTCGAGAGGAAACAATGTGTTTCCCCACTTAATACAACCATCAACATAGGTCAGTTAAGCGCTCTTTCTGTTCATACATTTCCTTAAAATGTGAAGGGGATAAAATGCTAACGTATATTAACGTATACCTGCTACCAATCTGCATCCTTTTATTTTTTGAAATGGAAGTTATTGTGAAACCACCTTTAAAATAAACAAAAGGGGACTGGAGTGAGGGCTGATAGCAGCTGACTTCTCCTTTGTGTTATTGTTCTCACCACAAACACCTGGCTCTGACCCTGGTTTGTGTGTGTGTGTGTGTGTTGGAGGGGGGTACAGGCAGGTTTCTACCTGTTCCTGCCATGAGGCTGCATGGATGAATAAGGTGGCTTCAAGGAGGCATGCTGGCTCTATTTATATGGCATGGGAAGGAGAGAGGTTCAGACCCCAAAGCAGTTTGCACCGAGGGGTAGTGGTGACAGCTTACCCGCTGACCGTGGACCGCTCCCAATCTTCATTACTCAACCCCACGTCTGGGTAAGTTTGGCTTCGAGGCTTAGCGACTGGCGACAAGCTGCCTCTCTGCTTAGGACTCCTCCAGTCATAGGTGTTGAAGTTGTAGCCGGAGGCCTGAAAGCCAGTGCCTGCAACCAAAAATAGGGGTTATAGGCTGTTTCTGAGAATATCTGCAAAAAGGTCTGTGTCTTTTCTTGGGATTTCCCTTGGTTTGTTCAAAGGGGTTGCCTCATCTGAACTTGGGGGTCATAAAGTCGTCGTGATGTGTCCTACATGCAGAACACATTCCATATCTTATCCCCTCTAATTCCAACAGTCCCGAGGTCAGACTAGGAGGGAGAGGCCCCAGAGCTATGCCTGTATTTTCTGTACTTGGGAAGTACTGTCCTCTTTTGTTTGGATAGAGAAACTGCTGGGCCAGAGGCTATGTGCACAAGGCCTGTATCCAGTGCTTTTCAGAGCAAGTTGTGAAGTCTTCACCCTAAATTTAATTTCCAGATATCCTGTGTCACCTCTGGGGTGGACACCTCTCAAGTCTCTCAACAATGGGATTTCCCATCAGATGTGGGTTAAAGTCCTCAGGTGAGTCCAAGGGGCAGTGGCTGTGCAGATGTGGATGGAGCTTGGATAGGGCGCTGGAGACCCCAATGTTCGGGATGGGTCTGAAGGTAACTTTATCCAACAGAGAAACAGCACTGTAGTGAGTGGGAGGGTTGACATCAACAGGTGGTAGCACATTTGCTATGTACCCAGAACTTCATTAAGTGCTTTACCTATGTCACCTAATTTCTTCTGCATAACTGTCTTGTAGTTAGGCACAGCCATCTGCATTTTACAGACAAGGATACAAAAGGCTTAAATCAATGGTTCAAGGACCAGGGATATCTGCAAACTTCCTGGGAGTTCCCGTTTCAGCTGGAGGAGGCTGGAAGGATGTAGTTTCAGAGCTCAAATTTCACCACCCCTGATGTGCCTGAGCAAACACTGGGGCTGGCATCTGTCATTTCTCTCTTCTATCCCCCTTTCAGATGGGTGCTCTGTCATTTTACAAACCAGAGACACATTTTACATCCATCTCAAACCATGGAGGAGGCTTGGCTCTGGGGTATAAAAACTTTCAGGAGTCCAATGAAGGGATAGTTTGGGAGAAGAGCACAGGAGCCATGAGATCTGGCACCTTCCCGTTCTCGCCCACAGGGCAGAATTCTGAAGTGCGGTGTTGGGGTTGGGAAGGTGGGCACGTCACTAGTTTGATTTAAATTGCAAAATGAAAACTGACTGCCTTTCTGGGAGTTAAGTTGATGGGCTAGAGAGTGAGGAATGGTTTTGGCAATTAGATTATAGAATGGGTATTTTTCTTGAATCTGAGCTGAATTTGTAGTTCCAAGATTCATTCTCTGTTTCTCATACACACATACTTTAAAATAAAATCATTGTAAGTATTTACATTTGTGATAGTGTATGCAATTTTTCAAGTCTTTTTTTAAAAAATAATATAAGTTTATTTTTACATCATTTTGTGCCTTTTTCCATCTCAGTTGTAATCCCCGTGGGCTTCCCATAACCAAATCACCCATGTGCAATCACTATAGTCCACTGCACTCCCTCCTCCCCATTTTTGATCCCATTCCCTACTGCACCCTCCATAAAATGTCTCCGGTATATAATTGTTCATTATTATCATTATTATTTTCTCCCCTGGTCCTTTATACTCCTGCTATGAGTGAAACCATCCAGTATTTTTCCTTTCCTTTCTGGATTATTTCACTAAGCATGATCCCTTCCAGCTCCATCCATTTTGCTGCAAAAGGCATGTGTTTATCTTTTTGATTGCTGAGTAATATTCCATTGTGTATATGTACCACATCTTTTTAATCCAGTTATCTACTTTTGGGTATTCGGATTGATTCCATGTCTTTCCAATTGTAAATAAAGCAGCAATAAACATGGGGGTGGAGGTCTCTTTTGCATCAGTGTTTTTGTGTCTTTTGAGTAGATACCTAGGAACGTTCCACTGTTTTTTAAAGATTTATCCATTTATGCATACAGAACTGGGGTACAGGCCAGAGTGCAGGGGTGGTGAAAGGCTTCACCAGAGACAGAGTGGGGAGTAAAACAGACAGATCAACAAAGTACACTCACTGCTGAGGGGAGCAGCAGGCGGGTTAGGAGAGGTCTGCTGTGCCATGTGGTCACCTCTGGGGCGGGGATTGAGCTCATGCTGAAGTGGCTTTGGTTTCTTAGTGCTGTGCTTTAACCCGCCGTGTCACCAGGGAGAGCCGGAAGCTCCAATTTTTAGCAGGATGAGAAACTCCCAAACAGTTTTCTATAGTGGTTGCACTAGTTTACATTCCCACCAGCAGTGCAGTAGAGTTCCTTTTTCTCCACATCCTTGCCAAAATTTGTTGTTGCTAGTTGTTTTAAGATGTGCCATTCTCACTGGTGTGAGATGGTATCTCACTATGGTTTTAATTTGTATCTCCCTTATTACAAGTGATGTTGAACATTTCTTGTTCAAAAGTCTTTTTTTTTTTTTTAGGATTTATTTATTTATGCATACAAGAACTAGGGTATAGTCCAAAGGTGCGAGGGAGTGAGAGGATTCACCAGAGACAAAGCAGGAAACAGAACAGGCAGATTGATTGAAATACACTGCTGAGGGGAACAGCAGGCATGACAGGAGAGGCCCGCCAAACCTTGTGGGTCACCTCCATGACTGGGGATCGAACATGTGCAGCAATGTCCAAGGATAGCCTCATAGTGTTGTTCTCTACCATGCTGTGTCACCAGGGAGAGCCCCAACTTTTCAAAATTCTCTTAGGAGAGCACATATGAGCTTGTTGGCAGGGCTGACTCTAACTTGGGGGCTGTAACTACCATACACAACTTCATCCACCACTTCAGGTTGCTGTGACTCATTATAAATGGTAGGTTGTGTGTGTGTGTGTTTATATGTGTACTGGCTGCAATAGAATATATCATTTCTTGGTCTGTTTAGAAACAATATAACAAAGAGGTAGAACCCCCTAGTACCTCCATCCTGTAAGATGATGGTCTCCATCACATCCCAGGATATGATTCCATATCCCTCCGCTGATTAGGTTCTATCATGCCATCCTCACTATTAGTTGAAGCCCAGGGAGCAGATATCAAAGGATAAAGCTCTCTGATCAAAATGATTTTATCTGCAGAACCCCCATAGCATGCTCACAGCTGCATGATAGGAACACTTTGAATCTTCTGGGAGGACACCAATGATTAAAAGCCTTTGGGGCAGAGGAAACAATTACAGTTCACTATCTCACTTTCTCTCTCAGATAACTGTAGAAGTGTGGCTAGCCATTTAGGAAGAAGTCTTCTGTGGGTTTCCATCAGCGCTGAGTGAAGGAACACTTTTTTTGAGGGGGGTTGACTGGGTAACGCTGGGTTTTTCCCAGCTCCCTCTGACAGGTTACCCATTTCTTCTTCCAAATCAAATAAAACAACACCCAGAAATGTGAAGTCTCATGTTTTGCCATATAAAGAGTCAGGGGAAGTCCACCCCTCACTTCTCTTAAGAGCCAAATGCTAAATGTCGGTGTCCTCTTGGGAGTCTCCTTTTCTGATAAGTATTAACCCACATGACCATTCAGGTCCCTGGGGAAATTCCAATGTGTTTTAGACTGTGCAGATTAACCTTCTGATTTTCCTTCCAACTGCTGTGTCTAAGTAGCTCTTGGAGACATGAGCAGATGTACAGCATCATTACCAGGAAATGCTGCCTCTGAAAGGCATCTCTGTCTATAGCAAAGACTCCTTGTCTCAATGAGCACGATTAAATGCTGGTGTGGTACAACAAAGTAGGGCAAAGAAAGCTGGTAGAGCAAATTGCTGGGTTAGGAGTAGAACTCAAGATGGTTGGGTAAGGCACAGAATCCGAAAACTTGGCTCTGGTTCTATTTCTTTATGATTTTAGTCACACAGAGCTTTTGGTCTATTCAGTTGGATCAAAACCAACTGACATGCTGGTGATGGTTTGCCATAGAGATCTGACTCCCCCCTCACTTAAGTCCCAACATCTGGACTTAGGTTGGGGGTGAGGAAGAGTTCTGATTCTGTCTCTAAGTCCAATTCAGTTTTTTTTTTTTAAAAGATTTGTTTATTTGTGCATACATAACTGGGGTACAGGCCAGAGGCTCAGGGGCGGTGAGAGGCTTCACCAGAGACAGAGTGGGGAACAGAACAGGCAGAT